GTTAAGGAAGCACTCCACTGGAACTGCAAGATCTGGGTACGTGGTTTGCCAGATCTTCTGATAAGCGTGAGGCCGGAGCACACTGTGACAACTGGAGCTGATGTAATGACAGCCAGGACAGGCACTCGGCAGGACTGTAGAGCCAAAACTGGAACCAGAAGCGTAGTCAGAGTAATAGCCAGGGTCAGCAATGAGCAGGCAATGAGGTACCGAAACATCAGACAGGAACGTGGTCAGGAGGAAGCCAGGATCAGAAACCGATGAGCAGAAGCATAAACAGAATCCAAGAGCAGGTCAATGGCAAGCCGGGTCAGTAACTGATACACACAGGATACAGCAGGAAACAGGAAGTAGCTGAAGACCAGTCAGCACTGACAGAGAGTAAGAGCTTCCTTTAAATAGTCTGTCTGGCACCAGAAACAGTGGGCATGCTTCCGCGTGTGTGCACCCGTGTGTGCGCATTTCTGTGCGCATGCGCGAGCCTTGGCTCATTTCTATTAGCTAGTTGCCATACAGGAATTCCCTTACAGAAAGCCCCTTCTATTGCTCTCAGCCTCCTCTCAATCTCCAAATTCTTTTTTTTTTCACCATGATCTAACTTCCTGTTGGAGGGTGGCTACATTCATTCTTCATGGTTCCACTGTAGGAATGCAGCCACCCTCTCTTGCATGTTAGATTAGGGACTCTGGGCTATAGGATTTGTAGTGAGCATAGTACATTACACATGACCACAACTAAAGTTGGACATACATGGATTGATATTCGGCAGATTCCACAGGGACTGACTGATTTTGATCTATGTATGGCCATTATGGTTGAACAGAATTCAATCTACTGATCGACTTCTGTTCAACCACCCTGTTGGATTGTAGCCGCTTGATCAGCACTGCAGGCAATAGACTGCAGTGCTGATCAATGTATTCTGACGGTGGGGAAGTCTCCCTGCTGTCAGAATACAAACATACAGTGGGGAGGATTCCCCCATCCACCTTGAATGTGCGGATTGGGGAACTGGGTCAGTTTTTTCGTTCAGCATGCTGGTTGAACAAAAATACTGATTAATTATTGGCCAATCTAACTTGCACTGCATGAAAGTGAGGGGTAAAAGGGATTTAGTAACTCATGGATGACATCATAAGGAGGAAGAAAAATACAGTAACAAATTATATCTTGAAAAATAGATTAAATGACCATTACAGAGGACATTCAGTCCATCATATGTGCAGATGTGCGAAGGGCTCTATCTTGCTTTCAGAACCTGGCAGAGACCTGTGGAACATCTGAGCATGCACCAAGTTTCCCCGCGCATGTGCAAACAACCATAGATCCGGGACATCTATAACTCCCTGCATTCATGTATGCATATGGAAAACCCTGTGCATGCACAGAGGTGCCAAAGGTTCCTGCTGGGTCCTGAAGGCCATCTGGAGCCCTTCAGAACATCAGCACACATGTGGAATTGAGTGCAATGTCATTCTTTTCTTTCCTAGGCGAGAAAAGAGGGAGTTCTGTGCTGCACAAAAAAAGTCAACAGCACTTAAAAAAATAGGGAGGGACTGGAGCAAGGTGAAAATAATTTGTTTTTGGGGTGAATGTCCAATTTAAGTGGTGGATGTAAATGGATGATTTTTGGAGAATAAGGATAACATTTAGTGTCACTTTAAAGCGTATGTAATGTATTGCAGTTTACCAATCCTTAGTCTTTGTTCTCTTTGTTTCAGGCTTTTCCCCTTTATTTTCTCCTGGTACTCTTGCAAACACATCATTCCTGTCCTAGGGTTACTACACTCACCCTGTCTAGGGAGGGAGTCATGGTTGTCACTCTAGGATAGGACTACAAACACGCTTTCCTCTCTTCATCTCCATTACATGCAGGTGCAGGGATTGAAATACAAAAGATAGCCAAAAAGAAATACAACATTGTTTGTTTTTTCCGTTCATTGCACAGAAAATGACAAGGATACTGAGTTTCTGGCAAAATCAACAGGTGTGACCTGTACTTGCTGAAAATGTACTTAGCCTAAAAAACAAACAAATGCAGCCACCATATCATATCCTCCAGTGCTCGAGTGATGGTAGTTTGTCTAGTTTTATTAAATCCTTCATACATGTATGACTTTTAGTGGCATAAACAATAACAGCCTTATTCAAGGTACTAATTATTAAGATCATTATTAGGATTATAAATATACATTTCTCAGTAATAGTAAACATGGCTAGAACCAGTGCATAAAATTTTATTTGTTAATGTCTGGAGGCAATATGCCTGTTTGTTGCCTGTGGCGTCCTTGAGGAACCACATTGTATCTGTACCTACGTTCAACACTGAAAAAGTGGAATGGCTTAAACATATTTTACATAGCCTAACAGAGATACCATAAACAAAAAAAGTGGTGCTTTATTAAAAAAAAAATTTTTAAAAATGCAAAGCTGTTTGTTCATTGATACTTCATGTAATTTCATTCCATATGAATGGGGCAAGATAAAATGTTCTCAGGCTACTTTCACTGCAGTTCAAATGATATTTATTAAAAGAAAAAACCAGTGTGAATGGACAAAATACTTTTTTATGGCCACCAGATGTTGTTGAGTATGTTCAGGTATACCCCCCAGCTTCATCTAGTGGCCATCATGTGGCATTTTTCTCCATGCACAGTGTGCTTTTCAATGAGTATCAATCGATTTGTGGAGAATATAGCCTGAGGACGTTTAATTTTGCAATATTCACACAGAATTAATTTACATGCAGTTTTGATGGACAAACATCTTTGTGAATTTTTACAAGTACACTTTTAAGTGTTTTATAGAAAATGTTCTTATTTTTGTGATGTTTCATTAGGATCATGTTGTGTAACCAATTTAGATGTGACTGAGAATTCGTGGATTTCTTCTAGAAAGAAGACTTGAACTGTAGACGTATGCACCTCGTGTTGTTTTGGGATGCATTTGATCATTCGAGAATTTTGTTTCATCATATTCAGTATGTTGAGCCAATTTGTATTTGGAATTAATTTCATATTTTAGGCATTCTTTTTGTATATTTGTTGGTTCCGGTGGATTAAAACAATTTTGCAGTTTTTCTGTAAGATTGCTAAATATTCAATATATCTTCAAATCGGACAGATTTGAATGGAAAGGGTTTGATATTTTCAGACAATAGTCCAACCCACCAAGAGAAATGGAAAGCTGATTGGATAATATTGACTGGAATCCTGTGCATCCAAATTATCAAACAAACTTGAAAATAGAATTCATTACCCCATGGGCCCGAACTACTATCATATCATGTGATATCACCCAATTGAAATGACTGAAATGAATGCACTCAGTAATTTCATTTATAACTTTTTTTTAACTCATTGACATTCGATATTATGTCTATTCACAGATTCATATACATCCAAATCGCCAAAAATGACATTTTTGTCCCAAAAAATTAATCGAAATGAAACGCATATGTCTATTGAACTGTGGAGGGTATACCAAAGACTGGCAGGTAGAGAGCAAAGGAATAGTTACCATTACTGTCCGTAGTTTAATTTATTCTCCTTTACTGACTTAACTTGGAGTGCAATTGAGTTACAGTATCTCCCAGAAGTACACCCCTCACATTTTTATAAATATTTTATTCTATCTTTTTTTGTGACAACACTGAAGAAATTACACTTTGCTACAATGTAAAGTAGTGAGTGTACAGCTTGTATAACCGTGTAAATTTGCTGTCCCCTCAAAATAACTCAACACTGTCACGTACCTGATAGGAGACTGAAATGACGAGGTCGGCCTCACTTGTGTCACTAGCCCTGACCCCACTGGAGGTGGAACAGAGGGTGTCTAGGAACCAGGGGGACAAGAGCGCCAGTAGATGTTGTTTGCAGCTCTTGTGGTTGGTGACCTTGGAAGACTGATGAACCTCTGATTCAGGCACAGTAGTGATATACAAAGCTGGTATGGTAGATCGCCAGGTGTGCACCAGAGCAAGGCAGGAAGCTGGGATGGGAGACAGGAGCAGTGTCAAAGGAATAGCCAGGATCATCAATGGGCGGACAGCGAGGTACCAAATCAGAAGCAAGCCAAAGTCAGGAACAGAGCCGAGGTCAGGAACAAGTATCAAGCAGGAGAGTAATCAGAGTCAGGTCAGGAACAAGCCAGGTCAGCAACAAGGAAATCACACAGGAACGAGCAGGAAATGGGGAACAGCTGAAGACCAGTCAGCACTCAGCACAGGCAAAGGCACCTTTTAAATAGTCCGTCTGGCGCCAATCTTCACCGTGCGTGTGCACGGGTGTGTGTGCGTGATCGTGCATTTCTGTGCACATGCGCACGTCTATTCATCAGCCGTCTCATGGGAATTCCCTTACAAACACACAGCCATTAATGTCTAAACCGCTGGCAACAAAAGGGAGTACACCTCTAAGTGAAAATGTCCAAATTGGGCCCAATTAGCCATTTTCCCTCCCCAGTGCCATGTGACTCGTTAGTGTTACAAGGTCTCAAGTGTGAATGGGGAGCAGGTATGTTAAATTTGGTGTTATCGCTCTCACTCTCTCATACTGGTCACTGGAAATTCAACATGGCACCTCATGGCAAAGAACTCTCTGAGGATCTGAAAAAAAGAATTGTTGCTCTACATAAAGATGGCCTAGACCAGTGGTGTATTTTGGTTTTGTGCTGCCCTAGGCAAGACTAAAATCGGGCTCCCCCCCGCATCTAAATTTGCCCCACCCTTTCATCTGCAAACTCCACCCCTTCCTCTTTAGGCTCCACCTCTTCCTATTAGAGCTCCACCCACTGACAACGATGGGACGCTATTCCTCCCACTGACACCAATGATGGGGCACGATTCCTCCCACTGACACTTATGATGGGGCACGATTCCTCCCACTGACACTAATGATGGGGCACGATTCCTTCCACTGATATCAATGATGGGGCACTATTCCTCCCACTGACACCAATGATGGGGCACTATTCCTCACACTGACACTAATGATGGGACACTATTCCTCACACTGACACTAATGATGGGGCACTATTCCTCACACTGTCACTAATGATGGGGCACTATTCCTCACACTGACACTAATGATGGGACACTATTCCTCCCACTGATACCAATGATGGTGCCTCATCATTAGTGTCAGTGTGTGAGGAATAGTGCCCCATCATTAGTGTCAGTGGGAAGAATCGTGCCCCTTCATTGGTGTCAGTGGGAGGAATCCTGCCCCATCATTGGTGTCAGTGGGAGGAATAGTGCCCCATCTTTGGTGTCAGTGGGGGAAGTGCCCCATCATTGGTGTCAGTGGGAGGAATAGTGCCCCATCATTGGTGTCAGTGGGAGAAATAGTGCCCCATCATTGGTGTCAGTGGGAGGAAAAGTGTCCTTTCATTGGTGTCAGTGACACCAATGAGGGGGCACTATTCCTCCCACACTGACACTAATGATGGGGCACTATTACTCCCACTGACACCAATTATACTTACATCGCTGTGTTGACCCCTGCTTCAGCCCGGGCTCCATCCTTTAGGCACAGACACTTACCCATCAGCTGTCTTCCTTCTCCAGCCGCTCTCCTCCTCTTCACCGGTTCCAGCTGCTCCCTCACTCGATCTTCAATCTTCGCACTGCCGCTCAGCTCCTCCTCTCCAAGCTCCGCCACCTCGCCTGTGATTGGCCGTCTGTGTGCATTTTCTGAGCTACAGATCTAGCGGCCAATCACCAGCGAGGAGGCCCTGGTCTGGGCTATAAGAATATTGCCAAAACTAAGCTGCAGCACGGTGGCCAAGGCCATATAGCAGTTTAACAGGACAGGTTCTACTCAGAACAGGCCTCGGCATGGTCAACCAAAGAAGTTGAATGCATGTGCTCAGCGTCATATCCAGAGGTTGTCTTTGGGAAATAGATGTATGAGTGCTGCCAGCATTGCTGCAGAGGTCGAAGGAGTGGGGGGATCAGCCTGTCAGTGCTCAGACCATACGCCACACACTGCATCAAATTGGTCTGCAGTTGTCCCAGAAGGAAGCCTCTTCTAAAGATCATGCACAAGAAAGCCCGCAAACAGTTTGCTGAAGACAAGCAGACTAAGGACATGGATTACTGGAACCATGTCCTGTGGTTTGATGAGACCAAGATAAACTTATTTGGTTCAGTTGGTATCAAGCGTGGGTGGCGGCAACCAGGTGAGGAGTACAAAGACAAGTGTATCTTGCCTACAGTCAAGCATGGTGGTGGGAGTGTCATGGTCTGGGGCTGCATGAGGCACTGGGGAGCTACAGTTCATTGAGGGAACCATGAATGCCAACATGTACAGGGACATACTGAAGCAGAGCATAATCCCCTCCCTTCGGAGACTGGGTTGAAGGGCAGTATTCCAACATGATAACCACCCCAAACACACCTCCAAGACGACCACTGCCTTTCTAAAGAAGCTGAGAGTAAACGTGATGGACTGTCCAAGCATGTCTCCAGACCTAAACCCTACTGAGCATCTGTGGGGCATACTCAAACGGAAGGTGGAGGAGCGCAAGGTCTCTAACATCCACCAGCTCTGTGATGTCGTCATGGAGGAGTGGAAGAGGATTCCAGTGGCAACCTGTGAAGCTCTGGTGAACTCCATGCCCAAGAGGGTTAAGGCAGTTCTAGAAAATAATGGTGGCCACTCAAAATATTGACACTTTGGGCCCAATTTGGACATTTTCACTTAGGGGTGTACTCACTTTTGTTTGTTTAGACATTAATTCCTGTGTGTTGAGTTATTTTGAGGGGGCAGCAAATTTACAGGCTGTATACTCACTACTTTACATAGCAGCAAAGTGTCATTTCTTCAGTGTTGTCACAAGAAAATATATAATAAAATAATGACAAAAATGTGAGGGGTGTACTCACTTCTGTGAGGTACTGTAATCAGAGGCTCTGAAGGTGCTATCGTGAGTAAGGACTCAGCTATGTCAATGGATCTGGAAGAAAAAAATATTGCCAGCTGACTGGAGAAGTTCACTGTTCATTCCTATATTGAAGAAAGTAGATGCCAAAGATTGAAAGAATTAGAGAACAATTGCATTAATTCCACATGCTAGCAAAGTATTACTGAAAATAATACAAAGGAGGATAAAATCATATGTTGAGCAAGAACTACTTGAAGCTCAGGCTGGGTTCAGAGAAGGCCGAGGAACAAGAAACATTGTTGCCAATGTTAGATGGATATTAGAGAAGAACAAAGAATACCAAAAGACTGTATACTTTTGCTTCATTGACTACAGTAAAGTATTTGATTGTGGGGATCATGATAAATTATGGAGGACTGTGTTGCAAATGGGAATACCTAGACACATAACGCAGTTAATAAAGAACCTCTACAAAAATCAAGATGTTGCAGTGAGAACTGAATACAGCAACACTGGCTGGTTTCCGATAAAACGTGGAGCAAGGCAGGGGTGTATCTTGTCACCTTACCTATTCAACATATTCGGTGAGGCCATCTTCAGAAAAGTAAATTTGGAAGAAGTCTGTTGGTATTAAAGCTGGTTGCAGACACATAAACAACCTGTGCTATGCAGATGTCACAACGCTCTTTGCCAGCAGCAAAGAAGACATGATATATCTACTGAGAAAAGTTAAAGTGGAAAGTCGCAGCATGGGATTAGAACTAAATATAAACATGATGAAGATCATGAACACAGGAAATGACAACAATTTTGAGTTTGACGGTGACAGAATAGAGGTTGTAAATCATTTAAATCTCCTAGGCTCTCTCATAAACAAGGAAGCAACCAGCAGTGATGAAATATTCTGCAGAATTGCACATAGAAGCTACACAATGAAGATTCCCAACAAAGTTTTCAAATGTGAAGAAATTACATTGAAAACAAAGATCAGACTCATCTATGCTCTCATTTTCTCAGTTGTCAATTACAGTTGTGTATAAAAAAGATTGACTCATTTGATCTTTGGTGTAGAGATTTTTGTGTGCTGTGGACCCATGGAATTAATATATCGATTTTGGAAGAGATCAAATCGGCTATGTCACTAGAAGCCCAAATGATGAAGTTGCGACTGTCTTATTTTGGTAACATTATCGGAAGGGAGAGATGACTGGAGAAGGAAATAATATTTGGGAAATCGAAAGAACCAGGCTAAGAGGGAGACTGACTACTAGGTGGATTAGACACATTGACTACAGCTGTGGGGTTGACACTGGAGGATCTCACAAGAATAACACACAACTGACTTCTTTTTAGAGCTCTTATTAATCAAGCCGCTAGGACTTGAGTTGATGGCACTTAAAAATAACTGACTTAACTGACTAATCATGTCAGTGTACTTCTCTATGTCTTTGTGTGGAGGCAGTTATCTTGTTACAGGTAGGGCAATATTTTCTCATGTCAGAGCTGCCCTCCAGTGACTGGTGATTTGATGTCTGGTGGGGGAATAATCATGACTCAACAGGAGAGAAAGCACAGGTCTAGAAATTTAATGAAGCAGATGCAGGGCGATCTTTGTACTGCAGGCTTTCAGATACAGCTTTCACTCCAGCAAGGAGAACAGTAAGTAGGACAGTAGTGTTATTACCAAAAAAGTCACTTCAGTGACTATCAGTCAGAGACATATACTGTTAAATATTCTCACACTGCAGATTCAAACCTGTAGGGTTCAAAGCACAGTCAGTACATTACCATTTTTGGAGGAATTCCAAGCACAGATGATATTTCTATAAGTGCTACTGTATATAAAATCACAAATCAACACTTTTTGAGTTCAGGTCCACTTTAAAGAAGATTTTGACATATAACTATATTATACATAGTTACATTGGTGCAGCTTGGACCAATGCAACTATATATATGCCTGGCCAATGCCCCTGGAAGCTGGAAATCACTGAAGTAGACATCTCTACTCCAATGATCTCCACTTGCTTCTGGGTCTTGTGCTGAGCGGCTGGCTTGAAGCATTGTGAAAAAAGAGGTTGGCCGCTCAGCACGGTTGCCATTCAAAGAATCATTTGTATTTTTTTAATTAATTCAAAGCATTCTTTGATTGGATGAAGTGGAGAGTGTGACGTAACCGCGCTGCTTCACCGAGTTTAAACTGGTATCAGCTTGCAATTTTCTGTACAGCAGAGCGTGGACTGGGAGAGTAAGAAACAGCACAAGAAGCCAATCAGTTATGTTGCAGTATATGCTAGTATGTGCTAGCAAGGAACATCCTGACAGGAGAGCAGAGTGACTTAGAGATGAAAGAATGCTTCTCTTTTCTTTTACAATGGATATTATTATAGACAACATAACAACAAAGAAACAGTCAAAAACAAGATCATTGACACAAAAGAATAAAGTATACAATCTTCTGATGAAGGACAAGACAAATGCATGAGTGCTTCTCTTTTCACTGGTAAAGTGGTAGTAAACCACAGCTTGACGGCACAGGTATGCCAGTCCTTCAGAGCATATGCGCCAGTGGAAAAAAAGAGCAAATATCTCCTAAACAGAGCACATTTAGGAGATATTCATTTTACCTACAGACAAGCTTTATTGTAAGCTTACCTGTAGGTAAAAGATACAAAAGTTGGTTCACTTTAAGTCACAGGTTGGGGGAGGGACAAGACCTGTGTTACCATCCTGTAACAGAGTAAAATCAGGTCTGCACAGGACTGTGTTGTGTGGCAGAACTGTGTAAATCACAGAAGTGGATGGATATGCATACAAATCAGGTTCAACAGCTCCAATATACGTAAGTATCTTTGCATTTGGCAGTTTGCCTGCAGTTCAGCTTCAACTTCCCCAGTATTGATTATGTAACTTGGTTGAAGCGCAAACAGAACCCTGACAAAAGTGGGTCCTCATACATGTATGCCTCATGCAATACAATTCTCTAAACACATGCCTGCACAACCATAAACAAAGTAACACACTATATTATAGAAATCATCACACAAAGATAGACTTATCTTCTATTTAGCAGATTCTATATTATGTCCCATATTCACGAAAATATTAGAATAAAGGTTCGTATTCTGCTTTGGTACAGTTAAGGAGGGTCAACGAATAATGGGTTCTGCTGCAATGGAAACAGATGTTGGTGTGTTGGATAAAAATGTTCAGTTATATCTGCAGCAGATGAGGACAATCTGCTTTACAGAGGAATGTCTGCAATAGACTCTGGAGCTGCTTAAATATTCGCTTTTCATTTTAAATAAATTTAATTTGTCACGGACTCATGGAAATGCAGATGTGCGAATCTTGCTTCTTCAAAACCTTATGATTTGATTTGCATATGTCTGAACATAAATATAACAATGTGAATAGAATTAGGGCTGCATCGTACCCGCTTGTAATACAGTCCACTATCTCAGCTATGCCTGCAGTTGCTGTGTATTTCATTTGGTATCACTGTGTCTGATTCATTTTCTCTTCCAGATAAATGCAATTTTTTTTCCAGGATGCCAAAAACCAAACATTTGAAATGGATTATTCAGTCACCG